CTTCTCCACAACCATAACAGGCTTGTCCAATGCCTGCTCCAGGGGCCTGGTTAGTGGGTTGGACTTGTGTCTTGCAGCCTCGAGCTGTATGGCCCTTCTTGCCACAGTTGTTGCACGACATCTCCCGGCACTGTCCCTGATGATGATAGTTGCACTTGTCGCATAGAGGTAACTTCTCATCATAGCGACTGGGGTTTGTTGAAGTAACGGGGACTGTAGAAGGGGTAGTAGCAGCGTGGACTGCCACCGTTTGTTGTTTCTTGGAGGGCTCCCGAAAGGGATGGCCCTTGCGCTTGTTCCAAAATCTCTTCTTTCCACTACCCTCCTCCTGTGGTTCCGAAACAGCTGTCATCTCATCAAGATCGACTCCATGATCGATCAGAGTCTGCGCCAGACACTTGGCGCTATCAAATGTAACTGGCCGAGCAGCCAAGACATTTCCTTTGGTTGGTTGTGTCAGTCCCCAAATGTATCTCTTAATCTTTTTGCTTTCCGAGGTGACCATACCCGGGCAAAGAAGTGCTAGATCTTCAAATCTGGAAGTGTAGGAAGCAATGTCGGAACCCTTCATCTTCAAGTTCCATAGCTCGTGCTCTAGTTTCTGCATCTCGCCCCGTAGGCAGTACTCGGCAAGCATGAGCTCTTTCAAGCTCTCCCACCCCATAGTATTGGCTATCGGTAGGGTTAGGGATTTGACCCGACCATTACACCAGGTCAGTGCTCTGTTGGCGAAAGTGCAAGCGGCGAATTTCACCTTGCTGGCTTCGGGACAAGGGCAAATTTCAAAGATAGACTCGATCTTTTCGAACCATCGAGTCAGGGCAATAACACCTCCATTGCCGTCGAAGGATGTGGGTTTTGCATTCATGAAGTCTTTATAGGAGCACTCCTTCTGGTGTCCCTGACTACCTTCATGGGTTTGGGGATGAGTACCACCTCCCGGCCTGCCAGATCCGCCAGGATTAATCTGTGACATCGCGGTCGCCACAGCAGCAGTAACAGCTGCTTGGAACATAGCAGGATCGAACTGAGGAGGTGGCGGTGTCGGATCTGTTGGGGGATTGTTGTTCTTTTTGCTGGGTCTTTTCTTTGGAGGCATCTTGTTCTAAAAATAATCCGGAAGAAGAGGATGATAAGTCCCCCATGATTTGAATATAGAGATATGAAACAAGATATATCTCGATATGATAGCTAGAGTGTTCTACTAAGCGATAAACAAGAAAAAGCTACCAATGCAAATAAGTTATCGCTAAAAGGAATGAGTAGCAACACTTGGAAGTGAATTTTCTGCAATGCATTTGACTCTTGTAAAATACTCCTATAGTATTTTAAGTTGTAAGTTTTGTTATATCGATATTTTGTTGTATGGATACTTGGTAAGTTTTAGGCCTGCTGCAACACCACAGCCACTCCCAAGCACATGTTGGTCATGTCTCGAATGAATATAGTTGATCAGGCTATTTTGACCCTAGACATGATAACATAACTGCCTAGGTTTAACCGTAGTGTCCAACATCCAAATACTTTTGTTTTGTTCTACCCAAAATATTGTTTCTGGTATGTAGGTATACTTGTATACTTTTCGTAAAAATACTTATATTTTAAAAGCATACTTTTAGTTCAGAGCACTTCAACCCCTTAGTGTTTATAGTTGTATACCATGTAAGGTTCGGTATCCTTAGTTCACTATAAACAATAGCTCTGATACCAATCTGTCACACCCCCGAACCGTCAAAAATAACGGCGGAAACGTTCGGAGGCGGGTGACGTCATGCGTAGTATCACAACAGTTGTATCATAGTAAGCAAAGTAAACACAACCATTACATTACAATATGATTATTTACATCTGTTTGAAAACATAGTTTATACATAAGAGTATATAACAAAAGTAAAAGACGTGACTCCAAAAGCTCCGTCTTCTCCAATAGTTGATAAAAGTACCTGTCTTTTGCTGCCCTGAGAATACAAGCAGTTTGAAAGAGTATCAGCTTAAAGCTGGTGAGTTCATAAGTATTTAGTTCTGGTGAAAAATGTTTCCTTAATCCTTTGAAAAGTGTTTCCCAAGAAAATCCTATATTTTCTTATGAAAGATGTTTGATTATCCATTAGTCATTTGTTAAGCAGTCCGTTTATGAAAAGTTGAGTTATCCCAGGAAAATCCTATATTTTCCTAAAAGTTGATGGTTGGTTATCTGTTTCTAGTCTGAGGTGTACAAGTATCTACCATACTTATATCGTTAGACGTAGTTTTCTTGAAAAATCCTGTTAGCTCCCTGTGAGGTGTATTAGCCTTATTACATAAATAAAACTAATAAATAAGTGGTGAACTAAATCCTAAGGGTGTTATTAATACCCTCTAGTAATCGAATCGGTTATTACTTTGAGGTTAGTTCACTTGATTCATTATTATAAAAGTAAATTCCTGTTATCTAGGTTGTGGGTGTCATAACCGTACTTAAACTTGATATGGCACGTACCGGGGCCAATATCCTTTTATGACTTTGTCACCCGTAGACCTGTCGGTCCCACTGTAGCTAGCAGCGAGGTGCGGGATAGTCAGTCCCGTATAGATCTATACACAACAGTCACGCTCTCCCTACAAGAGATTCTGGTTACAAGTGCTAGTCCTACACTCTCGAATTCGGTGCGGAGTGTTACAAAGGACGTGTCCCCAACTTTAGACTAACAATTTACAAGTAATAATACTAAAAATCCTGTTTAAGATTTGTATGAATCCTTTATAAAATAACACATTTTACGATATGATTCACAAATTCGTTGCTTTAGTTTTGAAAACTGTTTCTACAAGTTGATTTCTTAATCGTTTGGTAAAACTGTTTTCTGTGTTAAAAGCATTCTAAACATATAATTATCTTAAGCAAAATAATATATTTTGAGCACAAGTTTCCTTGTACTTTTGCTTGTATTCCCACCTGAAAACATGGAAAAACTCGGAAAAAGCGTAGGGGTATGAACTCACAGTTTGACGTGGGGTTCGAGTGTAAGTTGCTAGGAATTGCTGAGTTTCAAATAATGCCTCGGGCACAAACGGATCCTATTTAGCATGTAGAAGTACATATATGTATTAGGTGAGGGCATAATACTGTTGTTATGGAAAGAACCACCTTAGGGATTAGAAAACACTTAAAACTAAGTGTTAGAATCATATGTGATTGAAAAGGGGAGTTTGGGGCCGTAATCAGGAGTGTACGGTCAGGGGTTTACGACCCATGGGTTTACGGTTTCATGGGTTCACGGTCTAATGACCTTACGGTCATAGGGTTTACGGTCCATGAGTTTACGGTCTTTGGGTTTACGGCCCATGAGTTTACGGTCATTGAAGGGTGTACGGTCTATGAGTTTACGGTCTTTGAAGGGTGTACGGTCTAAGGAGATACACTAGACTGTAAACAGCTTTTGTTCATGGAAAAGTGACGATTTCAAGGCAAAACTCAAGAATTCTAACTAGATATAAGTATAAGAGGATGATACTTACGATTTGAAGGCAAAGAAAGGTTAACACCGAAAGGAAGAAAATCAGTTACATTCTTGAGGATTTCTTGAGCAAACTCGAGAATTGTAGAGAGAGAGTAGAGAGAGAAGGCCTTTGAAGTGTGTAAAGGGTGAAATGAAGGCCATATACTCTATATATAGGGTAGAGTTCTCGGTCAAAGGGGTCCACCCGGCACCAACCGTAAACGGGTTTACGGTCTACACGCGTTTACGACCGTAAACTTGTTCTGACCGTGAACTCGGCGATTTTCGAGGAAGTTTCAAGTTTTTCGCGTGATTCCCGGTTTATTCCGAATCGTATAGAATTTTAATTATATCCCTAGTTGATTTACTTAACCCAAGAAGTTGACGGAAAAATTTAATAAGATTAAATTTTATTAAGGGAGATGGGTTAAAAAAATAACGGGAGAAATTTCGGGTTGTCACATAAATCAACATAATTAATTATCCCAAAAAATCTAGAATTTTCCTTTTATATTTATTTCAATTGACTAAAATACTTTTATAGTGAAATTGGATGATATTTTTCAATTATTTTTAATTCAATAATATTTATTAATCATTTTTTAAAATAACTAAAATGATTGGTTCACAATCAATCCTATATTCACACAATAGATAGTTAGAATACAGTAACTTATATATATATATATATATATATATATATATATATATATATATATATATATATATATATATATATATAGTAGCCGTTACCTGCGCCAAACGACGGGTGCGAATAACTTTTTCAGAAATTAGTTTCTAGAGGCTTCTTTTGTGCAACAAAGACAATTTTTTTCCTTTATTTGATCTCATGCATATAAATGTGGTACTAGATGATTTACATATTTGTATTATTTCAATTTAAGAGTATCAACCTTAACAAATATACAGAATAATATCTAATATATTACTTTACCAAATCATTTATCATAAAGTGCTTCCATGTAATCATCCCCTTTTGCTTAAACTTCCATGATCAGTTTATAAATTAAATTTGTAAAGTGTAATAGTGAATCACCCACTCATCTGATGTTTCATCATGGATCGTTAATTTAGCTTGGATTGATGCAGGTCCATGATACCTTCCTATCTAGGATATAGAATGATGGTTTTTGGTTAGTTTAAACCTACCTGAACCACCCTTATTTTGTATTTTACCTGAACTAATATATGAAGTTGAATCAAGCTAGTATATCAATTTTCATACCATAATAAATTGTCAATACTTGAAATTGTCAGCTTAAAATTAACTTCACTTGAAAATTTAAAAGATCTTTTTAGGGATAAATTGCATGAAATAGCATTGTACTTCTCTTGCTTCACTAATATATGCAACATACTTTAAGTCTTTAACTTTTAACCATAATAACATCATACTAACATTTATTTACCTATAGTAGCAATGTTTAATCGATCAGGACTATAATTGGCATGAAACAATTGTGCATATTTTCATAATTTTAGCCAATAATAGAAACATAGTTAAGTTTTTTTATTCAAAAAGCGAGCTTCAAGATCATGAGCATTAGGGGTAAGCATCTGGCTCTTCCTATCCCCCATAAGCTCTCCTTTTGGGTTCTCCACATCTACAACCAGTTTTGCAAATCTACAAACAAAATTTAATAAAGAGTCCAAGATCATGAGCATTAGGGGTAAGCATTTGTCTCTTCCTATCTCCCATCAACTCTCCTTTTGGGTTCTTGTGACAACCGTCAAATTCCAGTCAAAGTCAAAGTTAAAATCAACAAGTCAAAGTCAAAGTCAAAGTCAAAAAGTCAAACCGGTCAAACTTAACTAGTACTTGTATGTTAAAAGTTATTCTATGTATAAAAATGTGCATTTGTATGTCAAGAATTCAAGTGTCTCGGAGAATCTATGTGTTTAGAAATGTAAAAACCCTAAAAAGGGAGTAAAACGCATCAAAACACGATTATGGACCCTTTTGGGGACTTAAAACAAGCATAAACGAAGCATAACGGGATTCACGAACCTTGCATTACGAGGTTATACAATAATAATGGCTCAAATTAAATCTCTCCCAAATCTCTCTCAAAATCTCTCTCAACTTTTTATAGTCAACCGGGTAATCCCGACCCTTAAATTAGCCAAAAATCGCTTGAATCGGGGAGTTATATCGAAAAACAACTAATTAGGGCCGAAACCCCTCTTAGGAACCGAACCCTCTTAGAGGGAACCTCTTAGGGCCGAACCTTCTATTAGGACCGAAGGTCCCATTTAGGACCGAACTTATACCCTCAGGACCGAACTGTCAGAGCCGAACTAGCCATCTCGGACCGAAACGTGCATACGACCGAAATAGACCGAGCCCTCGGTCCATTTTGGTTCCCTGCCACCTTCGGACTGAGCCCCCACCTTCGGTTCCCCTTCTCACTTCTCTCGGTTCTCACCTCCTAGGGACCGAACCTCGCAGGTTCGCTTCTATTTGTCCGGTTTTCGACCACTTTCGCTTCCTAAGCCCGTTTTTGACGTTTTTGACGGGGATTTTTCACCAAATTCATATTTTTATCATTTTAAACTCCCTAAACTCATATTTTATTTATTTCTCAAGGATTTATTAATTATAAATCATTATTTTACATTAAGAGAAATATCTAAGGATGTTTACACCATAAGTGGGTCAAGTGTGCCCACTTGCCTTCCATGTGTCATCTTCTCATTTGTCCAACCCTATCCACATCACACAAACCAAGGCAAACATCCTTTCAACTTTGCAACTTGCTCCAGCAACATCTATATAAAGAAATCCCTGGAGGATTTCTTGGTTCACTTTGATCACTCTCAAACACTTATACACTCCTCTTACCCTTCAAGAAAGCTTCTTTTCTCTCCACTTCCAGCCACTTTTGGAAGTGTTCTTGAGCTATTACTTCACTTTTTGGTAAGCATTCCATCTAAACTCAAGTGTTATTCCATGTTTTCATAACATCCTTGAATCATCTACACACATTTAACACCAAAAATCGTTCTTAGGATCATCCAACACTTCACGTGTTCATCAAGTGTTCTTGACTTGATACTCCTCATCTTCGACCTTCCATTCTTCAATAAGTCACTCAAGGTGAGTTCATACCCCTACATTTTCCAGTTTTCTTTAGTTTTCAGGAGGGGAATACAAGTTAAAACACCAAAACATATTTAAAACTTAACTTGACAGCTTACAACAGAAACGTTGTGACCTGTTCACGAACTGTTTTACCCAACTTAAACTTAATATTTTTCGACACTATTTAATATGCAAATATTTCAGGTTTATACCTTTAAAATTATTACTTGCACATCTTCATACGATTTTTCTACAATTTATGGTGATTTTTACAAAATTGTCTATCGTTGTAGCAACAAAATCGGACCAGGTTGTGCAGATGAACATTTTCACACTGGTCTGAGACCACCAAAAATTATAGGAAAGTTTATGAACATAGTAGACTCTTTTTCCAAACTCTCTGAGTTTACGGATTCAGTTTTCGACTTACGATGATTTTTTTATAAATATTCTAAAACAGTGACAGTTAAGGGTAAAAGTGTCAAACACAAGTTTAAGAGTTATTCACACCTTGTAACATGTTGAACAAGGTGTGTAAGATTTTATACTTAGTATTTTCAATGTCATTTTATTGAAATACAAAGCCATGCATAACAAGGTTTCATTCAAAACATAAAAAACTCTTGATAAACTATAATAGGTATAGTTTGGACACTTCGTTTAACAAAGAAACAGTAACACAATCGATTTACAAAACGAGTATTTCATTACAAACTACGTGAACATGTTAATGAATAAATTTGCGAGACATTCGCCTTCAGGGTACTATTAAGTACAACAGAAAAGTCCTGTAATTATAGTCATAATCTCTTGTAGGGAGAGCGTGATAGTTGTGTATAGATCTATATTGGGTCTGACAAACCCGCACCTAAGCTGCTTGCAACAGCTAGACCGGCAGGTCTGGGGTGACAAGTGTCATAACAATTCCGACGCCTGAAGAACGTCGAGTACGAGGTCTTTGAGTTTCAGTATGGTTATAACATCTCACATGGGGAATTAACAAAACACACAGTTCACGGGGATTTAAAGAGTTTTATTTAAATATAAAACCACACACACACAAGCATGATGATTTACTTACATATACTAAGTCTTGGTTCAGTTAAAACTACAACAAACCTTTAGAAAATATTGGATTTTCTAGAAACAAACTTGTAACAAACTTAAAGGAATATCCGTGCATTTTTCATTTATAAATTGCTTATGAACTCACCAGCTTTAATGCTGATACTCTTTCAAAAACAACTTGTATTCTTAGGTAATCAGTAATTCAGGTAACCACAAGATTTTTGAAGACAAGTTGCCAAGGCGCAGATTTCTTTTGAACTATTTTGATATCATATGTAATTTATTTGGAAACATGTATTTTGCAACAATGTAACCTTTTAAATTATATTTATGATGGTTGTGTTTACTTTCTTCACTATGGTTATGATATTGAGCATGACGTCCTCCGCCCCCGAACGTTTCCGCCGTTCCGGTTTGGGGGTGTGACAGTTCTCCATATCTACAACCAGTTTTGCAAATCTACAAACAAAATTTAATAAAAAGTCATTTAATTCAAATGTCAACAAGATAAATAAATAAATCACACCTCTGAGTTATGTGTACGATAATTTATAATTAGAGAAAATAGGAAAGCAATTTACCTAGAATAAGTTTCACATGAATGCTTTGTTGTCAAAGAAAAACCATCTCTTCTGCCTTTTCAAACACCTAAACACCAAAAAACCGTTTCATGATTTAGTAACCAATTAATAGCCATTAACACTTTTAGACGATAATTTTCATATGAAAACATTATTTGAGTTCCATAATTTATGCCTTACATTGAATGCCCCAGATTTAACAAAATTCAAAGGTAACTTCCGAATTTACTCTTGTAACTCGTTAAAATGTGATTAGATATAATAATTACATTTTAACTACAAAATTGAAACTTAATTAAACATGATTAGAGAAAAGTAGTTACATTATAACTACAAAATTAAAATATGACAATCAAGTTTAAATGCTCAAAAGAGCTTATGGATGTTATATGTTCTATGCTTTATAATCAAAATCTATAACTAAAATCATATTTTTTTTGTTAAATCAAATCAATGTACAAAAATGCCTCTATTTGCATTTTTTGCTATGAAAGCAATGCAAATGCCTTGACAGCAAAAACTCTATTTGTAAAGACCTTAGTTTCACTAACCGACCCACAGTAGTCTGCACATCAAACAAATTAACAAAAATTAATGGAAAACACATAATATACATAAACCCTCATCAAAATTACAAACTATTGGTTGCACAAACCGTGAAAAGAACCAACATCACATTATCAGTAACAATTTAATGAAATTGTTTGCATCTTCCAACCAATACACTCACACTAAATGCAGAGAGAAGAGAAGGCACCATCCACCCAAATTGTAAAGAATAGCAACATATGGGAAAACCAACATCCTACAAAATGACTCAGCCGACTCATTAGGAAAGTTTTTCTTAAAGAAAGAATTTCTCAAAAAAGTCAAAACAAAAGGACTCAAAAACTCATTTCGAGATGAATAAAAAAATAAAAACCAAAGCTTAAGAAGATACCATAGCAATAAGTATCAAGGAGTTCAAATGTTTACCTTTTTGCGGAGTTAATCTATGATGATGTCCTATGGGTTTGTATCTCCTTAATGGTTCTCCATATACACCATGAGAAACCCAAAATATGTTAAAAACAATATCGAAATGGAGTAATAACAACCACAATCAAAGCTAACCAGTTATAAAAAAAATTAAGCTATATCTCACATCTAAAAATGCTTATAGTTTTTTAGAAACATATAGAGAAACCACCTATCACCTCCTTCTCGGGGTGGGGGGATAACATGATCCTGGAACCAACTTCAATGATCTCTCCTATAAGGTCATTATATAACCATTTACTTAATTTATTTTCATATTCTTTAACAATGTCATAATTGAGAAAGAGAAAAATAAAGTAAAAAATTTACTTATCACAATCAGAACAATCTGTAAGTCGATCATCACAAAAAGAGTTGTCTAAGAAACTCGTAAACATCTTGTTGGTGTTTAGAAAGCCCTATAACAAAAAAAATCTATGAGAAGATGTAGGGAAAAGGGAGGAAGAAAGAAATTGTTGATGTAGAGAGGGATAAAAATAAACACCTAAAGATCTTCAAATATTTCTTAAGGCTGGTTACAATGTCTACAGCTCAAGAACTATCTGAAAGATTAAATTTCTTTTTTTGCAAGCAGGTCTCAAGATGACCTCCAGATCTCATGGCATATACAAAAAAATCACCAAATCTGCAAAACACCATGGTCAAATACTACCCCTGCGCCAAACTGAAGCATAAAAATGAAAAATAAAAATTTCCACGGTTAAAATCTTACTGCATTTGTTTCTATTTGTGTTCACCGATCTGGTGACAATGGTAGTGGAGCATTAGGCGGTGCAAAACGGTATCAGATAAGTCGTCTAATGGGGTCGTTGTACTGGACGACTGAAATTAGGTTAAAGAAAAGGGGGAGATAATTTGTTGAATAGAGATGGAGTGTATGCTCTAAAGGGGTGCACGTGAGAAAGGAGGGTACCATAGAGAAGATGGTAGATAGTGGTTAAGGGTTGATTACCGGTGGGGGTTGGGGATAATAGCGATGGAGGCGGTAGGTGATGGGCAGATTAGGGTTTCAAAAATAAAGAATAGGGTAAGTGATTGTTACAGGCAGAAAGAGTTAGAAAGAATGTGATGGTGGTCGGAATTCCAGTAGTTGGGGTTTCTTTGATAAAGATAAGAGAGACGGTTGTGATGCATTGGTGGTTTGGTATAGATAATAAAGGATTATCGGTTCTTGGTGGGTTTTGGAGTGGTGGAGAAGTGCAACCAAGTCTGGGAATTCAGAGGAGCACAAGATCGTAAAACATAGGAGGAGCATAAGATCGATATGATACAAGTATTGGTGGCAAAAAAAGGGGAAATCGGATTAGAAGGTTACATCAGAGAAGAAGGTTGCATCGGTAAGATAGACGCTGGAAGTGGATTAGAGGAAAAGTGGTTTGGTTTTACGACCGATGTTTCGTTAGATAGATAGCGAAGAGGTGATGGTTTAAATCTGGAAATTAAGAAGAGTGGAGGTGGGGGAGGGTTATATAAATGGTGAACAGGCGGAAGAGATGATATATATACATGGATCTAACAGATTTAATTGGTTTTGACCGATTCTATAGGCAGAAATCGAGGGAACATTGATTTAACTTTGACTAATTCATTTGTTGACCGGATAATTTTACGATGCATAAAATGATTGTAAATATCGCAATAAGGTTTGTACGACTTAAAATTCAGCATTTGACTAAATATGCTTTATAAGGTATATATATATATATATATATATATATATATATATATATATATATATATATATATATATATATATATATATATATATATATATATATATATATATATATATATATATATATAGGGTTGAGATCAGTTGAGAACTCATAGTTTCCCGAAAACCCGAGAACTAAAGATGGAGCGTTAGAGCAAAGAGTAAATTACACGGATGGTCCCTATGGTTAGGGGTTACTTGCACGTTTGGTCCCTAGGAAGATTTTTTAACTCGGACCATCCCTGAAGCTTAAATTTGTTACCCGCCCAGTCCCTTAAATCTTATTTTGTTGCGTATTTAGTCCATATTAAACATAAAAAGACAATTTTACCCTCATCAATTGTATTTCAGATTTTTTTTAATGAGAAAAAACATTTAATAAATAAGTCATGTGGGTCCCACCCACCTAATTACTTACGCCTATTTTTCTTGATTGTTATAATATGGTCGACTGCTTCTCCATCTTTAACGCTTACTTACTCCTCCCTCCTCTTCACTGTCGATTAAAAAATCTTCTCTCCATCTCCATAGTCGAGTTGCATCTCTTTCGTCCCCCTCTCCACTCCCCACCTGCTTCATTATTGATGGAACCTACCCAACCCTAAAAGTTCCCTTTTATGCCCTAACTATTGATGCAACAACGTGAATCGCGATAGCGATCTCGCCAAGCTGTCGCCTGCACCCTCGTCTTTATTGTCTCCGTTCTTATGTTTATCCCCATATGCAATTAATACTTCAAACTGTCGTTGGTCTGCATCATCAAGCAATCGTTGCTGCCCTCCATCGTCAATCTGATCAAGTGTTGGGGTTGTTGCAGGTTTTGATTAAAATCCTTTAAGTTTGTAGGTTCTGGTTGAAACCCATCGTCTCCGATATCTCCATTTCCGATGTCCGGGTTTTACAAATTCTGGTTGAAATCCTTTCATTCTTTGTATGTTCTAGTAATTCTTAAAAAATCTTCAACAAATATACAGTAATTTTGCTGAACTGAAGAACCCTAACGTCGATCTGTAGACCACTTTCTCTGCTCCGCTTACCTAGATTTGATTTTAGTAGGTTTGTTTCAGGTTTAGTTTTGATTTCATTTTGATTTCGTTAAGTTTTGATTTGGTTTGCTATTAAATATCAAAGTTAAAGAAACAACACATCTTGTTGGGAGCTTGAAGATTTCAGAAGGGTGGGTTGAGATGAAGGAATATGATGACCGGAGATGGGTAGATTGTGGCCGAAGTTAGGTACTCTTCATCGTTGTTGGGGAGACGAAGGAAGTATGTTTCAAAGGGGTGGGGGTGGGCCCATTGTAAGTTAATAATAATGTGAATAATTGTATAAAAATGAATTAAATTACAAAAAAAAAAAAGAAATAAGTAAAGGGCAAAATAGTCTTTTTTGCTTGACAGGGACCAAGCGCGTAACAAAAATATGTAATAGGGACCGTTCGAGTTAAAAAATCTTCCTAGGGACCAAACGTGCAAGTAACCCCTAACCATAGGGACCATCCGTGTAATTTACTCTAGATCAAAATTAACCCATTAATGGAATGATCGTCATCTTATCAATCTTATTTAATGTTTGATTTTTTGTGTTATTGGAAATATTTAAAAAAAATGTCTAAAAATTATAATAATAAATCAAATTTTCAAATGTTTTTTAAAATAATAATTTTTGAATTTTTAAAAATATACAGATTTTTAAATTTTATTAGAAAACAAGAAGTTTTAAAAAAATGATTTTTTTTTTTTGAAAAAAACTTCAAATTTGTAAAAACAATAAATTTGTAACAATCAGTAAATTTAAAAAAAAAAACATGGAATATTTAAGAAAAAAAGCTATAATTTTTTAACAAAAAATCAACATTTAAGTGCATATATGCATATTTTTTCAAGTGCATATATGCATATTTTTTCAAGTGCATATATGCATATTTCTTATACTAAAATATTTAAAAGTAAATCATAAAAAACCCATTTTTATTTACTAATATATTAACACAATAGTCCAAATATTTTAAAGATACAAAAAAATATAAAAAACAAAAAATGCTACATATTTTCAAAGCATTTTCATGTCTTCGTATCAAAATTTTCATATTTTTCTTCAATTTTTCATTTTTCACATCTTCAATATTTTCCACAAAATCTTCCAATCTACAAGAAAATTAAAAAATATTGATTAATGCAAGAACATTCACAAAAATACATATGTATATATCATGTAAAATTCACATGTGATTATATAATATGATATTCACATGTTATTGTTTCTTTTAAGATTCATACGTGAATTACATGTGAATCACATGTATTCATATCTGATTCACTTGTGATTTACATGTGAATCACATATGATTCATATGTGAATTACATGTGATTCATATGTGAATTACATATGATTTACATGTGAATCACATATAATTCATATGTGATTCAATTGTGATTTACATGTGATTTACATATGAATCACATGTAATTCATATGTGATTCACTTGCGATTTACATGTGAATGTGATTCATATGTGAATTACATGTGATTTACATGTGAATAACATGTAATTCATATGTGATTTATATTGTATTTACATGTGAATCACATGTGATTCACAGATTCACATATGAATCACATGTGATTCACATGTGAATAACATGTGATTCATATGTGATTTATATGTGAATTTGTGAATCACATGTGAATCGCATGTGATTCATATGTGATTTACATGTGAATTTGTGAATCACATGTGATTCACATGTTAATCACTTGTAATTCATAGGTGAATTAAATATGATTCATCACATACCAACTATGTTCTTATAATTTGTAAGTAGGTTTTGCTCCCATTCCAAAGTTATCAAACAGTTGTAATACAATTGGTAAATTAGACATTTGTAGAATCAATGGAAATGTAGCTTCACTAGTAAAAGAACTTGTACCTTGACAAAAAAATGGTACTTTTGTGTACTAAGCAGATCAATGGTTGGGCCACATGTGAGGGGATTCAAATATAATTCATAAAGCAGTTGTAGGAGAACATAAAACTTGTCCATAAAAATCATAAAAAAACCTAAGAAATCTAAAATTAGTTGAGACTACAAACCTGGAATCCAAATTCATAAAGCATTGCATTGACATCTGGCTTTGGCAGCATTTCCAAAATATCAAGAATAACCTACAAACGAGTGATATGAATAAGGCTCTAAATAACCATCTTACAGCAACAACAAAAGTAAAAAAGAGCCTATATCTAGAACCAAAGTTATCAAAAGTGGGAGCCTATATCGCAATCATGTAATCAACTTGAAAACATAAAAATTGAAAGCTTAATCTGCATAATTCTCAAATTGACTACATAGTGATTTAACCTAATTTTGAAATTTTCGTGAGCTATGAACAATAAACTAATTCTAACGGATTAACTAATGATATAGATGTTGAATGATTCAGAGAGATATGGAAGTAGGTAATTACCTCATATTGATCCCATAGTTGATTGAAGGCGACGGAGTCTCCGGAAGCGGTGAAGATGTTGCCATCTCTGAGTACATCAGAGATTTCAGGGGAGAATTCGGCGGTGGAAGAAGCTTTTGGGACAAGAGCAGTTGGAGTTTTTTTTTGCTTGGATGTAGATTCAGGGAACATATAGTGGTGGTTGTGGTCGGAGACAAGATAGATGGATGCGACACCCAAATCGAATACAAAAATGATATCGGCTCCAATGGAAACACGACGTCGTTCTCCGCCTGAGACTCCTCGATGTCCTTCGTAACCGATAATTGTTTTGGCGTCGTTTCGGAGCCCTAACTGATCAATTTGGGCTTGAACTCTTTGCTTCTTCTTTGTTTTTGATAACGGTCGAGGGAGATGGTCGATGTAGGTGGTGGTCTCCGATAATGACCTAGATGCGGTGCTGAAGAGGCGACTCGCCGGCGTCGGTTGTGGGGGAGGCGGAATTGCCGACACCAGAATCGGAGAAGGTGAGGATCATTTGGGGAAGATCGCAAGCAACATTGGGGAATTTTGTTTTCTCTTTTAGTAAATAAGATTTAACGTATAATGTAATAAACTAATAATATATTTGCTTCCAATAATACCATTGTCTAATTTAATTGATATTCCCCCACCTCTTTAGTTTTTTGATTATTTACAAAAATGTCACCTTGCATCTTCATCGTCTTTTATTTTGATCCAACGTTTCATTCTTAGTTTTCGGGTTCTCGAGAAACTATGAGTTCTCAAATGATCATTCCTCTCTCTCTCTCTCTCTCTATATATATATATATATATATATATATATATATATATATATATATATATATATATATATATATATATAAACAATACAATTTGTAAAAAGAAATAATATTTATGATAAACTAACAGGGAAAAAAAAGTAAAAATATAACACCATTTCGTTTGAATTGGTAAAGTGGATTAAAGTAAAAGGGAAATAAATGAAAATACAAGACAATGAAATTTAAATTGGTAAAATGGATTTAAATATCAAGAATAGTCAACCATGTCATTCCAAAAATAGGGTCATCATGAAAAATTCGGGTGCCAATAAAATCTCCCCATATAAATAAATAAAAAATTGTTAAATATTGCTCCAACTAGCGTGGCTAGATGACATTTCGAACGACGAAGCATGTGGTGTCTAACTAATCACTTCTTCCCACCAAGGTCTTTTAGCCCAATGGTATTAGGTGTTGTCCTCTCTTATTGAGATCGTAGACATAT